TCAAGGGCCTGAACCAGAGCCTGTCTGCTCAGCAGCCAGGGGGTAAAGTAAGCCTTCACCACATAGACGAGGGGAGGGGAAACCTATTGGGAAGTCCCAACTGAGGGGAATCTGGACTCAGGGCCACACCCCAAACTTAAGGGTCTGTCTACACAGTAGCATTATTTCAGAGTAACTGACATTATTTTGAAATAACATTGTGCGCATCTACACTACAAGCCTTTATTTCGAATTAATGTTGAGCTGAAGGACTTCTTACTCCAACTCCTGCAACCCTCATTTCATGAGGAGTAAAGGAAGAGTGCCAGAAACATAGAGAGATAGGGGCCTGCATCTCCCCCCCTCCCCCACTTATTCAGCAACCTAGCTACTAGGCTGCACAGCTGCTGGGGACCCAACCACACTCCCCATGAAAGATTATGAATGGAAACAATCAGGCTGTGTCTAGACTGGCAAGTTTTTCCGCAAAAATCATCTGCTTTTGCAGAAAAATTTGCCAGCTGTCTACACTGGCCGCTTGAATTTCTGCAAAAGCACTGACGATCTCATGTAAGATTGTCAGTGCTTTTACGGAAATACTATGCTGCTCCTGTTCGGGCAAAAGTCTTTTTCCGAAAAAATTTTGCGCAAAAGGGCCAGTGTAGGCAGCAGAGAGTTGTTTTCTGCAAAAAAGCCCCAATGGCGAAAATGGCGATCGGGTCTTTTTTGCGCAAAAAAGCGCATCTAGATTGGCCACAGACACTTTTCTGCAAAAAGTGCTTTTGCGGAAAAGCGTCTTGCCAATCTAGACGCGCTTTTCCGAAAATGCTTTTAACGGAAAACTTTTCCGTTAAAAGCATTTCTGGAAAATCATGCCAGTGTAGACGTAGCCGCAATGTGGTGTGGCCAAAGACAACACTGTTGTCACCTATAACAGCTGAAATGCTAGGAGGAAAATCTTATATTTTCTTTTAGTTTGCTCTTTTTGGCAGCCCTTTCCACTCAGTTTGATAGGTAGCAAAGCAGCTGTTCATTTTCTTATTTTCCTTGAGCTACCTATATATAGGAACTTTGATGCTTCAAGACTTCTGCTGATGTGTGTTTCCAATCCTCACCTTTGCTAAAGGGAGTCTTGTTTTGCTGCATTTTTCAGCATTTTCCCCATACTATCTCTATAATAATAGCACTCCTGCATCCAGTTTGGACTACCATTGGCATCAGTTGTAAATCACCTATACGATAAGGGGTGTGTGGCCCTTTAATGAACTTATGTTAGCAGGCACAGGTACTTGGGAATGCATGACACATTATCCCTCCTGTAATTCTATTCTTAGAAACACATGTTCCTGAATCCCTAAGAAATTGCTGTAGGTGCATAAAGGACGAGGGGTGGGCTGAAAACAGCAGGAGTCAGAATCACAGTACTTGGATTTATTAATTCAGTAAATCAGTGCTCTAATGAAGACAGCATGTCAATCACGTTATTCCTCCATTTGTAATAACTGTACTTATCTCCAGAATCAAACTCACTGCAGCGCCAGACAATTGTCAATATGTAGGGAAGTGCAAGTAAAGGTCTGACAAAGGCATAAAAGGGGGAAATGGGAACACGAAACCTGAATAAACTGCCAGACATGGGGAAATGCCCTTGCCATTTCCATGATAACGTCAGGGGCAGTGAGCCCCAGAGAGATGTCACGCTGACCCTGGCCTGGGCAAAGATGCACCAGCTCAGATGAAGGAAAGCCACCTGGCCCCGGAGGCTGAGCCAGGGAGGCATCCTGGCCTGATTTCCTTGGCCCACAGGAAGAGTCTATAACAGAATGGCTGCTTTGGCAGCCTGCAGCAGGTGCAGCACGTTCCCCTGGTGCACGGGATCTGCTTTGCAGGCTGATGCAGGGGCCATGCCACGACTCAAGCCCCGCTTTATCCTCCTTAGCTGGACTGTGTCCCTGGTGGAGCCCAGAGATTGTAATGGTAGCTGTCCCTTACGGAAGCCATGCAGTGGGGCGTGATGTCTCCTCCCCCTACCCTCACTCTAGCCACAGGCACGGTGATCTATAGCACGCACCTTTTTCTGTTGTCACCTAATGAAGCATTTTTCTCATCTGTAACAACAGGGGGGTTTTGACATGAGAGTTCATTTTACCCAGGCATTAATTTCTTGGTGCAAATTCACCCTGGTGTAGCTTCTGGGCAGTGAATGATGCTGCAATCAGAGGTGAGGGGCTACTTATCTGGGCTTAATCCCACAAGGTTCCAGGTGTTCTTATTTCCTGCTGGCCTCAGCAGGAGCTGAGGCTGCTGGGCACCTTGCAGGATTGGTCCTGGGTTGTTCATAACATTTAATTTGCTTCAGTGGTTAGTAATGGCTGAAAACCACAAGGGCAACATATAAAGCAGTAATGCAGGCAGCAGCATGCTATTTAATTCACAGATGATTTCACCACCTTCTTCCTGTTACAAGTAGTATTTCCAAGCAATAGCAGTACAGGGCAAAGTCATTACTTGGGTTTTTAAATCTGGGAACCGAACACCAGATCATTAAGCCTGGCATCCAGCAGCCATAAAATAACGTTTAAGCAGAAGAGGTTATTCTTAGCCGTTGATGACTAAAATAATGTGACTAGATTGTGAAAGTTCAGATGGGGGACAGGCATGTGAAGTGGGTCTTAAGTGGCCCCTAGACCTTGTACTTTGACCTCACTTGGTGCAGAGTTAAGCCAATACTGAGCATTTCTGAAAATCCCACCAAGAACAGGCCCTGACTGTTGCCCTGACCAGCTCCAAAGCCACCCACTCCCAAGGCTGAGAAATTTTCAACAAGATGCTACTCTTAGCAGATGGTTACACCCAGTCAGGTGGAAATCAAGGGTACCATTATATGGAGAGGGGGTGTCCCCCAAAACTTGAACTTGGGACTGGTGTGTGTGCGTGTATCTTACACACACAGTTTGGCGCAGAAGGGAGCAGCTTTGAGCCTGACCTATGCTGCCTGGGGATTCCTCCAGGCTGGGACAATGTTCTGCTCCCTAGGTAGGGATAGATCTGGCCCAAGTAGTTCAAGACCCACTTGTGCCAGCTAATTTTATCTGTTTTTCCTGCTGCACGGCACTAAAGAGGATGCACGGATGCTAGAAAAGTCAGATGATTCACAGAAGTAATGAGCACCTGTTAGGTTTAATGTTTCTATCATTAAGGTATTTCATTTTAGTACCTAAAATGAGAAGCTTTGAAAAACACAGTTATCGACAGACTAGTAGCAATACTGTTTGCCTGTGGCTACTTGCATCTGTGTAGATATTAGGTGAAGAAAGGGAAATGAATTGAACAGGGGAAGAGGTAACCCGGTGTCTAGACTTTAAGTCGAACTTCTTCATGCCTTTAACTCGGTATCTTCTGCCACACAATCACTTGTGCAATTGTTTCACAATAATGTCCACTGCTTCTGCGAGGTTGTTCACGTAACCATCTGCCTTCACTTCCGGGTGTTGCTCGTCACAAGGCCTGCAGAGGAGAGAGTAGGTTGACACTAGGAAAAATGATAGTGAACATTTCATGAACAGACATGTGAAAATGAATTGGGCTGTGTCTACACTGGCACGATCTTGCGCAAAAGCGGACGCTCTTGCGCAAAAACTTGCTGCCTGTCTACACTGGCCGCGTGTTCTTGCGCAAGTAAACTGATGTTCTAATGTATGAAATCAGGGCTTCTTGCACCAGAACTCTGACGCTCCCGCTCAGGAATAAGCCCTGTTGTGCAACTGTTCTTGCGGAAGAGGCCAGTATAGACAGGCAACATGAATTTCTTGCGCAAGAAAGCCCTATGGTTAAAATGGCCATCAGAGCTTTCTTGCGCAAGAGAGCGTCTACACTGGCATAGATGCTCTTCCACAAAAGCACCTCTCTTGCGCCAAAGCACATGCCAGTGAAGACGCTCTCTTCTGGAAGAGTTTTCGCAAAAGAAATCTGCAAAAGAGTTTTTGCGTGAGAACGCGCCAGTGTAGACGTAGCCTTGAGATTTTCCGCAATTACATGAAGAGAAGGACAAATGATTAATTTTTGTTCCAGTGTAATTATCCATTAGTCTGGGAAGTATTCCCATGAAATCTTTACAATGTTGCTACTGGCACACCCTCAGTTTGGGATATTTGTTGGAGGACACTTATCTGTCATTAGAACTCTAGCAGAATCTACTCAATCATATCTCTGATATATGCCAAACCACTTAATTGTAATAATTACCAAGGATGCTTCTGAGTGACTCTAGACACAGATAATGGCACATCCAGTCCATCTAATGTCATATTTAATGTAGAGATGGGAGAAGGTTTTCAACCAAAACTTTTTTCAGTGAAAAATGCAGATTTGGCGACACCAAAACATTTTGCAGTTTTGAGCTAAATTCACCCAATTGTTTTGACTAAAAAATCCTCTTCTAAAACATCAAAATACTTGTTTTGACATTTTTTAAACAAAACATTTAGATTTTTCTATTCTAAATGATGTTTACTTTCCAAATGTCCTTTCCTTTTATGTTTTTAATTAAAACGTAACAAAGGTTTGAATGAAATGTTCTCTTTGACCAAAAATATTTTGTTTTACTTTTTGATTCACTGAATGTTTTGGGGGAAAACTGTTTTTAGGTTGACCGGCAACAACTTTAATTTTTTGAATAATGAGAATTGTGAGCACACTGAAAAATCTGTTGTTCTCAGAGCTTGGAGAGCATTCACAAGCTTTTTCACAGCACCAAAAAGTGAGCTGTGTTCCTTCTCATATGTTTATCACGGTGCAGCTATTATTTTTTTTAAATGTCCTTCTATTGAATATGTTTTACTGTTATTACTAGAATAATTTCTATTATGGTGGGGCCTACAGGCCCCAAACATAATGAGAATGCATTATTCGAGACATTGTACAAACACAGTGGGAGACAGTTTATGCCCTGAAGAACTTATATTCTAAACAGGCAAAGGATGGAGAGGAATAGTAAGGCACAGAAAGGAGTCGTCAACAAGGTCCCCTGTAAGCTGTGTGCCTGCATGGGTGCGCAGTCTTTTTCTGAGCCCCATGCAGAGGTTCAGAGCTGCCCATGAAGGCAGGGAGTACAGCTCAGCTGATCTGCTGGTGAAAGGGGAGGTGGGGCACTTGCCATCTTGGAAGAGCAGAAGTAGCAGCTGCTGCCTACTATAAATGGAGAAGCTGGTTCCAGCCTCTACTCCACAGCTGGTCAAAAGATGATCTGCAGGCCAAATAAGGCCAGTAGAGCCTCAACCGGCTCCCTGCCTGCCCCACACCAGCTCGGCACTATGGGGGGTTAGCCCGCCACCTCCTGGATGCCAAATAGTACCAGCTAGGCACTCAGGAAAGCCGGGTGCAGAGCCATGTGCTTCTGCAAATGCTGAGAGCCTGGGGGAAGGGCAAAGGTTTCTCAGACTGCTCCCGCCCCCAGTAACTCCCATTGGCCAGTTTCTAGTCAATAGCAGCTGCCTATTTGCAGAACAGGTAGCATGTGACGGGCCCCTCCTCCTTCATCCCCAGGGCTCACAGCACTCAGTTTAGAGCAGGGGTGGCCAACCTAAACCTGAGAAGAAGCCAGAATTTCCCAATGCACATTGCCAAAGAGCAACAGTCCTAGGTCACCAGCCCTGATCATCTCCCAACACCACTCTCAGCACATCCCGCCCACTGGCAGCCCTAGTGGTCAGTGCCTCCTTCTCCTTTTCCTCCCGCCCACTGTGATCAGCTCTTTCTCAGTGGGAGACACTGGAGGAGGGAGCATGGGTGTGACAGCCTTAGTGGAGAGGGTGGGAAGTGGCAGGATCCTAGGGGAGAAAGGATGGAGGGGGACGGCACGTAGGCAGAGCTGGGGGTTGAACAGTGAGCACCCTCTGGCCCACTGGATCATTGGCATCTGTAGCTCTAGCCCTGGATTTGGGACCTGTGTGAGGAGCTGCGTAGGAACTTCTGAAGAGCCGCATGTTGGCCACCCCTGGATGGAGGGGGACGGCACGTAGGCAGAGCTGGGGGTTGAACAGTGAGCACCCTCTGGCCCACTGGATCATTGGCATCTGTAGCTCTAGCCCTGGATTTGGGACCTGTGTGAGGAGCTGCGTAGGAACTTCTGAAGAGCCGCATGTTGGCCACCCCTGGTTCAGAGCAATAAACATGGCTCCTGCAGCTACCCTGAGCATGTACAGGGGCTGGAAGGCAGGGACCCTGGCTAAGGAACCTGCTGGGCTGCTGGCTGGGAGCCACGTGAGGTCTCCCAGCCAGAGCCTGCCTCTGGTACCCCAATCTCTCTCGTCCCCAACCATCTGCCCCCCTCTTCTGCCTTCCTACCCAATGCATCCCTGCTCCAGTCCGCATACACCTTCCCAGACACTGCATCCCCTCCTACACCACTCCTCAGGTCACAACCCCCTCTCAGACCTTGCACCCTAATCTGCTATCCCTGGTCACAGCCCAAATCCCTTCACCTGCTCCTGCACGCCTACCCCAGGTCACAACCCTCTCCCAGGCCCCCTCCTCACCATACCATTGTACCCCCTCCTCACCATAGTCCGTTGCCCCAAGTCTACTTCACCCAAACTCCCTCCTAGATCCCATACCTCAATCTCATACCCCAAGCTCCCTCCTGCACCCAACCTCCATCCCAGACCCCTGCACCTCCTCCATTAATATAATGGAAAAGTGCAGCCCTTGACCACTTACCAAATTTTTGGAGTGGCCCTCCCATCAAAAATTATTGCCTATCCCTGTATTAATGGCTTAAGGTAAGAAAGAAAAAGATTATTTTAACTGAATTGTTTTGAGTGCTGCAGATATCTAAAATGCTGATCTTATTGATTTTTTAAAAAAATCCCATGTTACTAATTAATACATGGTAAACTGTATTGCATTAAGGCCAGATCTTTGCTATCTGGTAGAGTTCTGGCTCTTATGAGTCAGAAGCAGGAAGTACTAGGTGTGATGCCAGCTCCTTTGTAGAATGAAATCTTATTTGCAAGATATTTGAAACATGCATCTGTCTGTTAGAAAGGATGATGGTACATGTACTCTCAGGTCTCAGAGGGGTAGCCGTGTTAGTCTGCAACTAAAAAAAACTTAAACAACAATGGTTCTGTAGCACCCTAGACTAACAAAATATATAAAGAGTATCATGAGCTTTCATGGGCACAACCCATTTCTTCAGGCAAGGGTAGTGTTAATTTTCCTTTTATTTGATTTCATATGAAATAATCACAAGCATTGCCCCTTGTTAATTATCCCTTGCTTTAATATATTTTCTTCCACACCAATGGACTATTTAAAAGATATATCTGTGGTTTTTGTTTGTACTGGTACATGCACATCCACACACCCCCTCAATATTGGTGTTGCACAAAAGAAATTTCAACCCACCCCCTCTCCTCGAAAAAAATTTCAACCTACCCAAAGAGGGAAAATCTTAGAGGGAACACTGGTCATCATTCCCCTATAGTCACACAATTCTTTCTCTGAGAAGAAATGCTACACTGTCCCCAAACTCTTACTTATTGAGTCTTGCAAGGTGGATCTTTCTCTGTGCATCCATTGTCATCTGCATTAACTCCACTCCCTCTCTGCTCATAATTAATCTCATGAGATGCTCTTGAAATCCTATGTGAAAGATACATCTCTCTTCTCTTTGGCTGAAGATGACACCAGAGATGCAGCTCTTAGAGACTTTACAAACAAGGCCAGTACCATCATCCCCTTTTACAGATGAGGAAACAGTGTCCCCAAGAGGCAAAGTGACTTGCCCAAGGTCAGTCAATAGGCCAGTAGCAGAGCCAGGGGCAAATCTAATTATTGTATGTGCTGTTGGTTTCCCTGAGCTTGATCATTTCCCTGATGTTTGGCCTTTATATTCTTTTTCCTCTCTATTTCCCATCTCACTACAGACCTTAGCTGTGTGTTATCATGAATGTATTGTATCTTACAGAGTATTTTATCCATATTGGCAAGAGCTTTTAGATGAGTTTTAGTACACGTTTCATTGCAGGCCTGTGATTTTATAAAACTTTATGAGCATTTCAGCTTACTATTACGGAAAAAAAGAATTAATTCTTGGCCTAGAAAAATGAGTGGGCTCTACATAACTTCAGTTAGCGGGGGACTAAGGCTTTACCCTGAGGGACTGTGTCAACATTATACCTGTTGGGCTGAGCTGTGAATCAAAAAATACATGGATTTTATTCTTAATGGTTTCCTTCTGAGATCCTTGAGAGCTTATTTGTCCAGCTCTCTTCCCTCTCAGTTCCCTATTTTCTTCTGTAAAGGGCAAGATTTTATTTATTGAGGATTACCATCTCTAATGGACAGGAGTGCTGACCAGCACCCGGTGACTAAGGGGTTAAACTCAGGTAGTTAGCAAAGGTGTTGGCAAACGGGCCGGAAAACCAATCATAAGAGAGTGTTGAAATTTGAATTGGCTATAGATTCCTTGCCTGCTTTCTTTATTTGGGAGAGATAACCAAGAG